AGAATCTAAAAATCCCTGATCAGTAATGACTGCGCCCTAAAAGGTAAATATCATTCGGATAAAGGTCTAACATTCTGTGTAACTTTTCTTTCAGGGCCGGTAGTTTGCCGGGTCTGAGCGATCCCCTTTTTTGGGCACCGGTTGCACATTAGCATCTCTCCAAGTCTCCGGCACACGCCCCAAAGAATACGAGCATTGGTATAAGCGCATGAGCACGGGCGACAACTCCGCTGCACATTTTTTAAATACTACTGCTGGGATGCCATCAGGTCCACTAGCTTTCCGGACGTCGAGTGATTGCAATTTAGCAAGAACCTCGCGCTGTCTGATTTTAATATCAGGCATCGTTGTGCCACAGTGAGGTAATGATGGTGGCAGTGCATTGCAATCATCGATTCGGGAGTTAGCCGCAAAGAGTTTTGCTAGTAAATCGGCTTTCTCCTGCGGCTACTGGGCTAGTGTTCCGTCTGGGCATCTCAGAGGTGGCAGGGAGGGCTGGCAGAAGTTTTTTTGCACGGCCTTGGCCAAACGCCAGTAGCTACGGAAGCCCGTAGGATGCGTCATAAGTTCAAGGCCAACACGTGCAACGCGCTGGGCATCCGCTCTGATATAAGCCTTCTTACAGGCCTTGGAAGCAAAATTGTAGGCTACTTTGAGTGAAACGACCCCGGGATCAACAATGATTGCCTGCAGAGGATATACGCCGACCCGCCGGACGGAAGGGCCCCCGCACCCCCCCGGAAGTGGCCGCCGGGACCCCCCCCCCACACGCCCCGGTCACCAACCGGCACGACAGTCCACCCCGAGATTATGCGTGACATGATGGGGCAGCCTCGCGAACTGGTTAGGAACGCTCGGGCCCCTGTACTGTGCCACGGGCGGCCAGCGGGACAGCCACAGACAGACAGTCGATGCAGTCCTCCCGGTATCGGTTCGACGGATGCCTCGCCCTGGACCGAATCCGTCGCGACAGCCTCCACTCGAGCCCTGGTTGTACGCTGGCTGACCCCAAAACGCGCGAGAAGCACTTCACGGGTTTTTCACCATGCGCACGGTGGTAACAAACCAGGCGGGTGTTAGGCACCCTACCACCAGCAGAGCGGATGGAAGCTCCGATATTATCCCTTAGTCGCCTCTTACGACACCCACGGGAAGAGAAGGGGCGGTGAGTTGTATTCTTTCTCCGTCACCGCACGGATAAAAAAACTTGGCTGAACGTATCAAAATATCTCTACCACCACAGCCACTTTAAAAGATTGAAGAGAAAAAACATTTCTCTCTCCATCTCCCCACACCCTATGGCAAAAGACATTTCCCACAAAATAAAGAAATTTATAAATAAAATACTAAACACAATATTTTCTTATAATTCTTTGATGGCAATTCCTCAATATTGGTGTCGATTCTGGCGTGATTCTCTAAACTTAAAAATAAATTGAACATCAGTCTCTACTTTTCATTCTGTATAGAGAATGACAAGTATACACTGTTGTCAAATTTAAGTTTAGGTTTAGAGAATCGTGTCAGAATTGACACCACTGTTGTCAAAATTAAGTTTAGGTTTAGATAATATGCCAGGATCGACACCATTTAGTAGATAATGGACCTCTATCTCTGAGTACTGAATCCTATGGAGATGGCATGCATACATACGATATATATCTACCTAAAGATACTAGGAAACGAAATCGCGTCTTTACCTAGCGCTGCCCCAAGACTGCCCCATTGTATATCGATATCTATATATGCACAAGTAATTTTGTGACGATATTTCGATATTCTACAAAAGTGATTTTTAACATTGAGATTTTTCTAATTTTGGTGGGATATCACACAATACATATGATGTTGTAAATGCAAAAGTATGTGTGTGTTGTTGTCATCAATCGATTTTCGAAACAATCGGGTATACGCGCCTCCCTTACTTTTACTTAGGGATGTCGAAAGTTGAAAAAAATATCGATACATCGATATTTAAAAAAAATATCAATATCGGCTTTGATATATCGCGAAAAAAACATCGATATATCGGACCAATTTTCCCAAAAATATATTTCGGTCAGCCAAGCACAGTAATAATAACAATACAAATTATAATGAAAGAAAGAATTATAAAAGTACCAAATTGCCGATACATTACATGACAGTACAGTATCTCACGAAAGATGACACACGGAATAATAATGGAACAAAAATTGTCTCCCTAAAAATAGACCCTATTTTCGAATGATGAAAATGTTTGCAGGGCCTCTCAGGTGCCATCTTTCGTAAACAAGACTAGACAGTCACACACTTCCACAGAATATAATGGAATTCAGCATAACCAATTCACCAGCGAAACAGATTTACAAATCATAGGGTGCGGCCAGAGTGCACTCAGATTCAGATTCAGATTCAGATTCCGAAAACAAGCGCGAGAAATAAACAGTGTAGTCGAAGGGTGCGGCCAGAGTGCACTCAGATTCAGAGTCAGATTCAGATTCTGAAAACAAGCGCGAGAAATAAACAGTGTAGTCTAAGCAGGTTGCCTGCTTTTTCTCGCGCTTTGTTTTCTGAGTCTGAATTTGAATCTGAATCAGGAGTGCAATCTGGCCGTACCCTTCGACTACACTGTTTATTTCTCGCGCTTGTTTTCGAAATCTGAATCTGAGTCTGAATCTGAGTGCACTCTGGCCGCACCCGAAGGGTACGGCCAGAGTGCACTCAGATTCAGATTCAGATTCCGAAAACAAGCGCGAGAAATAAACAGTGTAGTTAAAGCAGGGTGGCCATAGTGGCAGCAGGCCGCGCAGGTTTCGGAGTCAGACACTTTACCGGAATGTTTAGGTCATTCAGATTCTGAATTCACCAGCGCCGCTCGGCAGTGTTGCCAACTCGGATTTTGAAAAATGCGTAGGCCCGATGAGAAAATTACGTAGAATTGGTAAATTTTGCATATGAAAAGTACGTAGATCTACGTACTTTTTTCTGAGTGAAATGAAGAAGTTAGGTGAAACCGAATTAAACGAGTATTTTATTATACAATTTCTTTAAAAACGGGCGATAGAACAAAGAGTTCTTGGAGAAGTCGCTGCATTGGAAGCATAAATGCTTTCAACTATACCATACCACAGCATGGTAAACCATGCTGTGGTAGACATTTACTATCAGACACAGACACTGGTGGATGTCGATTCTGGCATGATTCTCTAAATTTAAAACTAAATTTAACATCAGTCTCTCCTTTTCATTCTTTATAGAGAATGACAAGGATACATTGTTGTTAAATAGTTAACACTTTTTGCAATTATGTTTTGAAATGTTAATGATTGTTCTATCAGACCGAAAAAAAATGTATTTTTTTTACCTACAAGACATACAAAAACGCTGTATATTCTATAGACTTATCTATGCTATGACGTCAAAACATTTGTAAACGAACACACGCAAGCACGTAGGAAATAAACTTTCCGAGTTAATATTATAAAACCATGATTTCTAATAGATCACATGAAAAATTTAGTAGTTATCATGATACACTTGGTAAAAGACTAGAAAAGTTGTGGTTTAAATTGCCAAGAACATACTTCATGAACACATGTTTAAAACTTGCTAAATCCTGTAACTTTATCCACTGAAAGTCATTTTTTTTGCAAAGATCAATTCGATGTAAGTACTCATTGAATAATATTACAGTTTAAAAATACAATTTTCAAGGTTATGAATGTTTTTTAATAACCAAAAAATTTTGTTTCTTTTTATAGTTCGCCATAATTTTGTACCCTAATTGAGTGGATTATATAAATATAATATTTGTGATAGTATAGTAAATTGTAAATTAAAAGCTGTGATTGAAATTTTAAGTTCTTAAGAGCAAACATATATAAAGTCTTATATTAAACAAAACTGCTATATTATTAGTCATTATCTATGTTTATAATTTTTTTATGATAATATTTACTTTAAAATTTTAAAGTTTAACATAGATATGCAAAACTCATTATATAATTAAAAAAATGTTATTTGTCATTAAAAATAATTTCATTAACATAGCATTTTTTTGTATTATTAATGATTGTTCCTACATATACTATAAACCATACAAATTATTCAAATTACACTACCCTCGCGAATCCAGACCCAGCTTTCCGGTTAATCCGGACAGTCTGTTCCCATCATATCCAGATTAGTGAGATTGTAATAAATTCTTACCTAATGGTTATAACAAGGCGTTCTTCTGGAAGAATCTTGTGTTTGTGCAAATTATTCACATTTTTTTAAAATGTAGTAGAACGTTTCCACTTCCATCCTAAAATATTGGAAGAAACGTTTCCTATCATCTTTGAATTGGGGAAACAAATGGTGGTATTCCCCATATTCACTCCTTAATTTATTAATTTGGTGAACACCGATTCTCTCGCGTTTTAATTTATAATGACAACTATCAGTAGCCATTAACAAGCACGCTAGATCTTCATTAGAAAATTCCATGTTTAAGTTTCTGGATCAACGAACATATAACAATGTACTCTATAACTCCGAACGCGTCGAATGAGAAAGAGAGACTGTTGAATGACTGTCGATTGCGACTTTGTACAGATTAAAAGTTTATGAAGTGGTTTTATTTTTATATAAAAATGTAATAAAAAATAAATTTCCGTTTCGCCCAAAACAAAATTTCGCTTTAAAACCCCCCCAAATTTCGGGTAACTCCCCCCCAACCTGGCAATAGTGCTCGCGTCCGCGTCTTGTAATCTGCCTCCACTGTGGCCATCACCTGCTTTGCTCAAGCTGACATCTCACGAGCCTGCTTTCTGAATCTGAATCTGAATCTGAATCTGAGTGCACTCTGGCCGCACCCGAAGGGTACGGCCAGAGTGCACTCCTGATTCAGATTCAGAGTCAGAAAACAAAGCGCGAGAAAAAGCAGGCAACCTGCTTAGACTAAAAATATCGATATATCGATACATCGATATATTTTCAACAAGCCTACTTTTACTTATGCTTTTTTAATCTGTGGCCATCAGCAAAAGTCAGCGTGCGTTTTCACGAAAGTTCCAAAAAAATTTAATTCAGTAGCTAAAATGTGATCTTAAATTTGTACCTCATAATAATTACTTTAATTTTATACGATTAGATTAGCTTAATATTTATAATCTTCATGTGTAAGTCATCGAAAATGGTGTCTGGAAGTACTAGGGTGATACAAGTCACCAACATCGCGCCACAAGCAACTAAGGATCAGATGCAAACTCTTTTCGGATATTTAGGAAAAATTGATGACATAAGACTTTACCCAACCATCAGAGATGTATCCTGTCCCGTACAGTCACGCATCTGTTACGTTAAATATTACGATTCGGCAACCGTTAACGTTGCACAGCACATGACCAACACGGTTTTCATAGATCGGGCTTTGATCGTTATTCCCATGCAATCGGGTGAGATTCCGGACGAGCATAAGGCTCTTGAAATGTCTAGTAATGGTACTTTAGTGCCTGGCCTGAGTACTGTTGAGCCACGTTTGCCGGCACACGTTATCAACGCTCTTGAGGGTCTTTCACCCAATCAAGTCATACAGACTCATGACCCTAAGATGGCTGCTGCTGGACTCCCAGCATATCCTCCCTTACCAGCAGCTTATGATTCTCGTCAGATTGAAGAAATCAGACGAACAGTTTTGGTGGCAGACTTGGGCTCACTTACCCATCAACAACTAATTGACCATTTCTGCCAAGCAGGTGAAGTAAAGTACTTGAGATTTTGTGATAGAGATGCAGACAAACAAAAATATGTACTTATTGAAATGACAGAACAAGAAAGTGTCATCAAAGCATTGCAACTAAATGGTTCAACAGTAGAGGGACAAACAATCAAGGTAACTGCAGATTTATCAAACTGCTCATGTACCAATATATGAGAGTTCATTCTTTATTATCAATGAAAAAACTATGCAGTAACATATGTACCTAATTAAAAATTACAGCTGACCAACTGTGTTTTTTACTATATAAAAATTATAGTAAAGTAGATGAATTATAAATATAATATCTTATTTATTCATAGGTACATCATGCTACACAAGCTATTTCAAAGCCCCAGACTAAAAGCAATGAAGCAGCACAGCGAGAAATTGAGGAAGCAATGTGCCGTGTGAAGGAAGCTCAAAACTTAATATCAGCTGCAATTGATCCAGTCATTGGTTTACTGTCTAAAGATAAGAGAAGGTAAAATATTTAAATATTTAGATGTTGCTTCCTGTAATTATTAGTGCTATTATTATTATTGTTCTGTTAAATTTTTGCTTTTATTACTTTGAACATTTTATGAAATCTAAGTCAGTTTTATAGCAAACCAGTGAGTACTTGGGGGGACTTTCTTTGAGTGGTTCAATTAGTTCCCCATACAAACTTCCAGCCCCCTTGTTTCGCTCCTCGAAATACATACCAAAATTCATCTAAATCAGTTTCATCAGGTTTAAGCATGAAAAGGTAGGACATAGAGACACTTTCACAATTATAATATATAATATAAACTATAAGACAAAAATCTAAGCATTTATGCAAATTCAAACATCCCTCACCAGTCCACTCAGTCTAGAAACAAACACAAAACTTCTTTCACTACCTCTATGGTGTAAACACTGATTTTTATGTTGTAGTTTATTTAAATCTGGAAAAAGATATGAAATAATAATGGAGTAATCCTAATTATATTCATATTTCAAGAACTTTTCTGGCCATAGCGATAATGTTCAGATGCTTTTGATAGCAGAGAAGATATATTTGTAGCAGAACCTCAACAAGTTGGAATAATAATAGCAGCATTATGTTCGAAGTCGGAACTTAGAAGGTATTCGCAATAATTTGTGGTGCCAATTTTCACAAAATCCCTTAGGAGTTTTTACTAGTTAATGCAGAATTGAATTCTAAGTCCAATGGCATAGATAACTCACTTTGACCCTGAGTGTCAGTTAGGAGGTATTTGAACATCCTCGTTGATATGATGGATAGGAGCATATGACCTAAGTCATGGTTGTTTACATTTATTTCTGGAATAATATGAGTTATTTTATTTTTATGTTGTGTTATGTATTACTATCTATTACCCCAGTATCGTAATGCAAGCGTTTTGGTGCTTGTTATCAAGACGATTTTTTACCTAGCTCAGTGCCGACTAAGCTTGTTCACAAGCACGGTTTGTACTGACCCCACACTGTCGCTATCGCCATACCTAAACTAAACCCATACCTAACTGACAATCGGACTTCGATGCGGTTTAAAACCGCGTACCTAGACCCAGGTAGAAATTGTCTTCTTTACAAGTGAAGTGCCCTTACAGTGCCTACTTTTAGGCTAGGGTAATTGAGCGTTGTTAAACACCGACCAGTGCTCTATTGCTGTGCGTGAAAACCTAAGAAATAAATAAGCTCTATTGTTTTTTGTTCTAACCCTATGTTTGATTCTGTTTGCTCCCAAAAATGTCCAATGGTCACTTTATGCTTAACACTGCTCAATTGATATGAGTGTTAAAAAATCTATGTATTTATCTATTACATATATTTATCCATTCATCTTTTCATTCATTGAGAAAACGATCACACGTTATTTACTAATGTTTATGAAGTCCATTAAAAGTTTTAATTTTGTTGTGTTATAAAGTAAAAAACCCTACATAAAAAATTAGAGTTTCAAGTTGCCGCTATAACGTTATCTGGAGATTAAGGCGTCTCACTAGTGAGTGACGTCACACGACTATCATTAAAACGTCAAAGGATACAATGTAATATCACTTTGGCCGGAAGTATAATAACGTCATTTTAGTCTTGGCCAATCCCAGGTGATTTCGATCACGTGACCATGGAGCAAAGAATCATTTCTATATAATGATTTTAGGGAAAAGTCCTTAATTATTTGTTCTTTCAGAATAGTAAAATCACTGCTAATATTCATAGTAACTACAGATGCCAACAATTGGTACATTATTGTTCATACTGTCAAATAGCCTATTGCGACATTCGACGTAGAGATGGTCAAGGGTAAAAACCCAAATGGGCAAAAAGGGCATATACTGGGCAAATAGGGATAAAACGTTTTTACATCCAAATAAATGTCCAGTCGCTGGGCAAAAACTAAAAGATAAAAATACCATCACATAAATGATTTATAAATCTAATTTCCTCGGTAAAGCTTACCCACGTTTCAAATGTAAGCATTGAACACAATTGAGGCAAATAGCTAGTTGATTTTAATAAAAATGAGTTCGTTCATATCATTGTTATCATGAGAAAGCTAAAGGTTAGGTTATATATAACACCGCCAGCCGGGGCCTATGTCAAGGTGGACGAAGCCAGAGTGCCAATAGAGTCCACCTTGAAATACTTGGGGTTGGTGCTAGACGCGAAGTGACGCTTCGACGCCCATTTTAATCAGCTGGCCCCAAGGCTGATCAGTGCGGCGGCGGCGCTCGGAAGACTGTTGCCGAATGTTGGTGGCCCCAGCGCCAGCTGTCGCAAACTGTACGCTGGGGTCATCAGGAGTATGGCCCTCTACGGGGCGCCCATCTGGGCGGAATGCATAAGCGCGGGGAACGAGGCCCTACTGCAGAGGCCGCAAAGAATAGTGGCGCAAAGGGCTGCGCGAGCGTACTGCACCACATCGTTTGCGGCCGTATGCGCAATGACAGGGTCACCCCCGTGGGCGCTGGAGGCGAAGGCGCTGTCCCGCCTATACTGGAAAAGGGCGGAGGCCCGGCAACGAGGGGAGCGACTGGCGCCAGAGGAGGTGGTAGCCCACAGGCGGAGGCTGGACGAACTCGTCCTGGAGCAGTGGACCGAGGAGCTGGAGACACAGCAGTTCGGGGTCAGGACCCTTGAAGCGCTGCGGCCAGTGCTAAGTCAATGGAGGGAGAGGAGGCATGGGTCCCTGACCTTCCGTCTGGTGCAGGTGCTGTCAGGGCATGGATGCTTTGTCAGCTACCTGCATCGCATACAGGGGGAAGGACCTCGTCGTGTCATCATTGTGGCGCTGTCGGGGACGCGGCGCAGCACACCCTTGAGGAGTGCCCGTCGTGGTCTCGGCAGCGCCATGATATGGTCATGGCAATAGGAAGGGATCTCTCGTTGCTCAGCGTCGTTAAAGCGATGCTGGACAACGACAGATCCTGGACTGCGGTAGTCTCCTTCTGCGAGGAAGTCATCCTCCAGAAGGAGACAGCGGAGAGGGCCCGCGAGGGGGACGCCCGGGCCGGCCCTCTCCGCCGCCGACGGCGGGGTGGAAGGCGGCGGCAGTACGACCGCCCTTTTTCTACCCTAGTGGACCTAGCGGGCGGCGGACAGGGTGGTCCGCCGTCCGCATTGCACTGTCTCACCTGTTGAGGGGGGATGCCTGGGTGCTCCCGGGCATGCCCCTGACCGCCAGGAGGAGGAGGAACCCCTGCCGGGGGTAACGTGGAGAGTCATCCGGATCCCACGAAACCCGTTCCGGCAGGCGAGGAAGCACTGTTGGGTTTTAAGTGGGTAGGGCCCCCCCTTCATCTGGGGTGAGGAGGAGTCCTACATAACCCCGTCTCTCACCCAGGGACGGGCAGGCATGCGTCAGGCATTTTCCCAACAATAAAAAAAAATGTTATATATAACACAAATAACACTCATAAGCTTTATATAACATGTTTAAGTCTGATTTATGGAGTTAATAATAAACAATTTACTCGCATTTCCATCGGGGTCCTTCATATAAAAATCAAAAGTGTTCATTTTAAGTCATTAACATTAAAATCAGTCGTTATACTTATAGCTACCTCGCATTTTTAGTATTGATGGAACAAATATAAGTTTTGATTTATGATTTTATAATTTCTTAATTGTAGATTTGAATGTCAAAAGTCAAATCTTTCCTTATTTTAAATATTATATTATTAAGTTTTCAACCTCCCGAACAAGCCGGTTTCCGAAAGGGCTTCAATACCATAGACCACATTCATACGCTGCAGCAGGTTATACAGAAGACCGAAGAGTATAAATTGCCATTTTGCTTGGCGTTCGTGGACGTAAGGTACCTTTACGAAAACGCCACTATGTCAGGCCGATTACAGAACCAGCGCTCTAATCCTATCCAACTGCAGCGAGGCGTGAGACAGGGAGATGAGATATCTCCGAAACTGTTCACAGCAGCATTGGAGGATATTTTCATGCTTCTGGATTGGAAAGGACGAGGCATTAACATTAATGGCGAGTACCTTTCGCACCTTCGTTTCGCTGACGATGTAGTTCTTATGGCTGAAACCTTGGAAGATCTTAACACGATGCTCGAAGATCTTAGTAGAGCTTCCCATAAAGTGGCTCTTAAGATGAACATGGATATGACGAAAATTATATCGAATGCCTATGTAATACCCGCTTCAGCTAAAATTAATACAAATACAAATTCTTTATTTGATACAATAATTTCCGATACAGTATTGCGATTGGGAATTTCTTTTAAGTAAATATATACTTGTATTAGAAATTCCCGCTCTCCGTGCTAAAAGACATGGTACATTGAATTATTGATCACCTAAATATTTTAATAAGAATGATATAAAATCTAAAAAATAGCAAAAAAAATTTTTTTTTTTTACAATATTTCTTTTAGTCGATTTGTTTGTCTGTGCTTATGCATGCTTGTATGTGGGTGTATGAGTGTGTGAGTGTACGTGTACGTGTGTGTGCGCGTGTATTTGTGTCTGAACAAAGAGTGTATTGTTGAAAGTGGTTCTACTGAGATACCTATATAAAACCAAAATGCAAAAGATAATAATGTTTATTTAAACATATAATATCCAAACACCTAGCCCTCTAGGAATGTCTCAGTTTTATCATAATTCCAAGTTTTTAGTAGAGATGTTACAGTTATTTTGCAATTGAATTTGTTCATTGAGTATATACTTAGAATTCTGTTGATTTTATTATAGAGATGTCCTGATCGTACCATATACTGCCTCCTTGCATACATTGTTCTAACCGCAGTAGTCAGAGCTACATTATGTTTGCGTCTTCTTGATGTTTTAGAAGGATCATACTCCAAACTCTTGTGCATTTTTAAAATAATATTTAAAATGTAAAGCTGTCGAACCGAAAGCACGTCGCTCATTTTGTATAAGCTTTCTGTAGGATATCTACGGGACTTAAAGTAAATTACTTTTAAGAGTGATCTTTGTGCTCTTTCGAGATCCAGGAACTTCATTTTACCAGCACCACCCCAGACCGTAATACAATAAACCAAAATAGACTGAGCTAGTGAGTTGTACAGCAGTTTTAATAGGTTTTTATCGGCGATGTGTCTCAATTTTCTAAATACCCCCATGAGCTTTCTCGTTCTGCCCATCATTAACTCTAAATGGGCGTGCCATGATAGCCGCTGATCAACCACAACTCCTAAATATTTGGTTGCAGTCACTTTGTTGATAGCCCTTGTAGGGCTATCAACAGGATATTTCTCGATTATAACACTCATGAATTCGAATTTGATAGCTAGCGTTAGGTTGAGAAGAAGTATAATTAGTGAATGCAATATAATTAGTTTTTTCTAAGTTAAGAGTTAGAAGGTTATATTTTAACCAGAGGTCTATTTTCGCCAGACCCTTCTCCGTAGCGTGACGTACAGATTCCCACGTATCGCCTGTAAAAACAATGGCAGTGACATCTGCATATGAAAAAACTTGTCCTGCATTAATCACTATGTCACAAAGATTATTAATATAGATCAAAAATAAAGTTGGTCCCAAAACACTCCCTTGTGGAACTCCATACGTCACGTCACAGTCAGTACTTGTATAATGGTCTATTTTTACGTGCTGTATCCGTTTATTTAAGTAGTCTATCAGTAATGCTAAAGCAACTCCTCTCACACCAATGCCCTCCAACCTCTTTACAAGAATGGGCACGGAGACCGTATCGAACGCTTTTTTAAATCCAAGAACACTGTTATACACTTTTTCCCTTGGTCAACGTTCTCTACAATACGAGTTGTTAACGCTGTCACTGCGTCTTCGGTTGAAAGGGATTGCCTAAATCCGTATTGCGATTTAGAGAAAAAATCAATTTTGTCCAAATAATTTCGAAGTCTTTTGTTTATTATTTTTTCCAGTACTTTAGATATTGCAGTTAAAACTGAAATAGGGCGATAGTTTGATATGTTCTTTCCGTCCCCACTCTTATATACAGGCGTAATTACTGCTTTCTTTAAGGCAGCGGGAAATATACCTTGCTGAAAACAAAGGTTAGCGAGGTGTGTTATTATGTGGACTACTTGTTCATTAGCTAGTTTTAAGAACCTTGTAGAAATATTGTCCCAACCTGGAGCACTATCAGAATTAAGTCCCATAATGGTTTTGTAAACTTCTTCCGAATCAGTTTCGAAAAGAGCAAAAGACGGGACTGGCGAGCTAATAGATTCTTTATTCATCCTGGGTTATGGGTAAACGGTATTTGATAAAATATTCTGAGCCAGATTTTTACCAATACTTGAAAAGTAAGTGTTTGCATGGTCAACAGCCTGCTGTGGGGTATCTCGAATGTCTAACAAAGCCGTGCTTTTTGTGTTTGACGCTTTACGGTTTGCTATGTTGTTTATTGTTTGCCACAGAGTTCTTGGATTGTTTTTGTTGTTAGCTAAAATTTCCCGTTCATAGATGATTTTTAATTTTGTGATTAGGCTATTACAAAAGTTACGATACCTTCTGTTAGTTATTTTTAAAATATCGTTATATGGGTCAGTTCGTAACTTTCGCTGCATATTATTCCGGTTACGGATGCATTTTAGAATACCTGGTGTAATCCAAGGTTTGATTATACGATTCTTAGATGAAATGCGTTTTTTTGTTGAGTTAGTTATCAAACATTGTTGTAATTTAGCAATTAGGATGTTAGTTAATTCTGTAGGGTTGTCACAAAGAAGCAGATTAGTTAAGTTGCTTTCCTTTAGACTCCGAATAGCTTTATCATAATTTGTAACTAACTTATACTTTGATTCCTTTACGTTAAGCTTACTTTTGTTAGTTAAATTTAAGAATATCATACGATGATCAGTTACTGTGCTATCAAAAACAGTAATAGATGCAGTGTGTATATTGCTTTCCAATTTCAACATAAAGTGGTCTAAGCAACTGTGCTCCCGTGTTGGTAAGTCATGACCTGGTAAGAGTCCGAGTGAAGCAAGCATATTAAGATATGTTAGCCTATTCTTGCGTATGTATTTTCGGTATGTTTTTCTGTGATGTTAATATTTATATTTATATCACCAGTAATAATGATGTTCCGGTGCATTTTAATACATTCCAAATGTGAGTTTAAGGCATTTATAAATCCTTCGCCATTATTATTAGAAGGAGATCGATAAATACACAAAATTGTGCATGTGGCTAATGTGATTTGCACACATGATGCGTCTTTTAATTCAACTTCCTCGATGCTACTTTTGTATTTCCTTTTTAAATAAACAGTGACTCCGTCACATCGGTTTATATGCTTGGTAGTCGAGAATGACGTATATTGTTCTAATTGGGGTGTTTGTTTATTAACGTCAAGTCTACATTCAGTTAGAACAAGTAAATCAACTTCGAAGTTTAACTTATATAGAGAGACGCTTAACCCATCAAAAATCTTATATATACTACGGATATTTTGTGCGATTATGGTAAAGTCTTTGTTTTTATATTTATATATTTTAGAGAAGTTATTTATAGAATCTATTCTTGATTTTGCAACTTGGATTTCGTCTATTACTTCCAAATTAACGAGAGAGCTATCCATTAACATTAACAAGAAAAGAGCTGAAAGACAGTTCTGTACTTTTTTGAGTCTGAAAACCAATTATGCAAACTATAAAACACTTAGTTTTGCATTTTGCTTGATAAGGTAAGTGTATTTTTATAAGATGTGTGTGATAGTGTATTATGTGTGAGATTGTGTTTGGTGTGTGCTAAAATTGAAAACACTACATTCGAAGTTGCCGACTGTTACGTTAACCTAGGATAGACAGTCCAGTTAGGTAAGTCCATCTTTCAACTTGGATGGGCAGCGTCCGGGAAGCTACGGAAAATCTTCGCGTCCAAATTACCTCAGTGTCTCAAGACAAAAGTCTTTGGCCAGTGTGTATTGCCAGTGATGACCTACGGAAATGGGACGTGGTCCTTTACAGCAAGTCTCATAAGAAAGCTCAAGGTCACACAGCGAGCAATGGAGAGAGCGATGCTCGGTGTTTCCCTACGCGATAGAATCAGAAATGAGGAAATCCGTAGGAGAACCAAAGTAACCGATATCGCTCGAACGATTGCCATGCTGTAGTGGCCGTGGGCGGCACACGTAGCAAGAAGAACCGATGGCCGTTGGGGCGGAAAGGTTCTGGAATGGCGACCACGTACCGGACGGCGCTCAGTGGGCAGGCCCCCTACAAGGTGGACCGACGATTTTGTGAAGGTCACGGGAAGCCGATGGATGCGAGTGGCGCAGGACCGATCGGTCCTTGGGGGATGCCTTTGATCTGCTGATCAATCTGCTGGGCGTCGTACGGCTTATATGATGAATATTAAGTTTAAAAGTAAGTAACTAAAGTAATAATAAAAAGACTATATGAAATGAGAATATTTTATTACCATAATTTTTGTTAACTGATCAAATATATATACAATAAAAATAGCCACCCACAGGCTTGGCTTCACCAATATGATCAGTGCAGAAAAAACCTTTAAAGTATAGACAAGAATAAGAGGAATATTACTTACCTCCCAAAATAGCCGAAACTTTGTCTAAATTATGAAAAATATTTTTTTACTATTAAAGTACGCTGGTACGCCGAGTGCACACGGGCGTCTGAAACTGACCAATCTGATAACCGACAAAGAACAACCCAGATACGCAGAGAAGGTGTTGGGAATCGAGGCTCTCTGATTGGTTTATTCAAGGTCACTTATGCATCGTGCGAAAAGGATGCAAATAAACACAAATGGTTGAGATGCTTGTGCATCACCCATTTGTTGAGTTCATGATTTTTTTTGGTAGTTCCCAAACCACCCCAAATGAATAATAATCATATTTCGTAACACTTGTCACAAAAATATTATTTTATGGACCGAATTCTCTATAAAATCATAAATATTTAAATAAAGTTATTAACCTAAAAAAAAGAAACTAAAATAATAAATGCCCAGTCTTAAGGACTTTTATTGGACAGAAATGGACATTTATTGGGCAAATACGGAATATGCCCAAAATGCCTGGGCAGAAACCCATCCCTAATTCGACGTCCTAATGGCGGCGCCTGTTTTGCGTGTAGGCTATATATAATTATTTGTCTGTGAGGTGACTGGATTCAGTCATCACTTCAAACAGGGCATATGGGTTCATATGACATACCTCGCAGACACGAGAATAATTCGATTGTTTTTTTTTTTTGCAATCAGGACGCGTTCAAGGTCCCGCTCGCGGCGCAGGTCGCGTTCGCGCTCGCGGCGCTCGCGGTCGCGACACCGCGGCAAGCGCTCGCGCTCACGCTCACGACACCGTTCGCGCCGTTCGCGCTCACGCCATAGGCACCGTTCGAGGTAACACTTTTTACTTACTTCAGTATTTTAAGAAAGTTTTCCCTCTCCAAACACAGACAGGTTTTAGCAAAATTATAGAAGAAAACTTATAAATGCAGTCCAAGCTTAAAATTCAGTTAAATACAGCATATTATAGGACATAATAATGTAAGTGAACTTAGCACATCATTTCCCAACAGATCAAAATTAAATGTAAGTTCTTTTCGCATGCAGCAGAGTTCTACAGTTCCTGATACTTTTTAGAAATAGTTCTGGCGTTTTTACGCGAAAATTTACAGCAAATGTAAAACAAATGTGAGTTCTGTACCCCTAGCCCAAACCATTATCGAATTCGAATAGTTTGCGAGTGCGAAATATCAATGTCAAATTTTGTATATAAACTTGAACATTAGTCACGTGTAATCAGTACAAACAAGCAAAAAAAACAAAAATTTCTTTATTCCAAATATTTTTTGTTTGTACAAAAGTAGATCTGCTCTCATAATACAGGGTAACTAGCAAACCAGTGAACCAAATGTTCACCAAAACCTGATTTAAAAAAAATGTATTTAATTAATTGAGAACTTCGGAGATTTTGTGTGGTTTCGTTTGAAATTCGTGATTTCTCGAAAACCGGAAGTGCTACGTTACTCAAATCCGGTTTGTAGTCTTATCAGACTATTCTTAACTTATAACTTAAATATTCTCTTTATCTATCTCTTACGGTTTGGCCGCTGAAACAGCACCACAGACAGACGGACGGACGGACTTGTCTAATAGATAAGAGATATTATGAGAGGCAGGCTCATACTTACTATATAAATATAAAATTATAATAAACATGCAATTGTTACACATGCTACTTGAAAACTACAAACCAATTATGCATAGTTTAGGTCAGAGTTGGGCAAAATTTATTCGAATGACGAATAACGAATGAATAAATTGCTATTTCGTTATTCACGAATAATAAATAAATTTTTTTTATTCAAAGGGAAAATTAGTCGAATGATGAATCAATTATTTTATTCGTTAGTCAGTTAATAAATAAAAATAAAAACAAGGAATAATGGCATTTAAATCAAATATTTATTTGCTTTCAATTTTCATGTATTTACAGTTATGATTATTTCTTAATATTCGTTTTCATCACTACTCTTTCTTCAAACATGTTGTCAGACAATCTGCTTGACTTTGGCAGGTTTGTCATAGTATGGTATATATGTCTCGCTCTCTTGTATTGAAATAATCCCTTTCTTGTGCCACTATAACTCATTAAATTCCGGAAATCAGGCAGGCAGTTGACGATATACGATTGGCACCAATTCGTCTTACGCTTTAATATTTAAAATAACGAATTAAATCATGAATAATCTATTCGTAGGAAATATATTTACGAATTAATTATTCGCGAATAATTATATTGCGAATAATTATCCAGATAACAAGTTATTTGTAGAATGCCCAAATCTGGTTTAGGTGTTTCTATGTGTGTATGTGTGTGTGTGTGTGTGTGTTATGTGTGTGGATATTTAATTATGTATAGATCTAAGACAAGCTAGTAATTGTTTGTACTAATTGTTCTAGATTGTCAAAGTTAAATTGTTCCAACCATTTTATAACTAGTTACTTAAATTTTTTTGACTTATGTTGTATGCAGTCTTTGAATGACCGTAGCACTTTGTTATAAATGTACGGCTGCAGGAATTTTGAGTCTGGGTAGTCTTCATTTTTCTAAAAGTGTAAACGGAACAATTTTATTATGGAATCTGCACAATGTATGTATAATATAAAGTTTGCGTACCGGCAGAACCTTCGCCCTCTGATACAGTAGCTCTTTTGAGAACTGATACGAAAAACCCAGGACAACTGTCAGTACTACCCTTTGTGCTCTTTCCAACTGGATCATGATGCACATCTTTGCAGCACTTCCCCAAACACACATGCTGTATGTTAGTACACATTTTACAATGACATTTCGCACTCGCAAACTATACGAATTCGATATTGGGTCGTGCTAAGGGTACAATTCGAAAGCAGCTGAGTTGCATAGTTCCTGATACTTTTTAGAAATAGTTTTGGCTTTTTTCGCGATAAATGGCAATTATAAAAATGGTCTGTTAACTTCCCGTAGCATATCATTTTGCAGCAAATTGAAAACAAATGTGAGTTCTATTGCAGCTGAGCTCTATAGTTCCTGATATTTGTAAGAAATAGTACTATATAGAGCATATCAACCATTTATATAGTAGATTTTTTTTTGCCACTTCCATGCTGTATAATATATAGTCAAAGTAAACACATTTATTGCAACTTAAGCCTATATATAAGAAAATTCTATTAAGGCTCGTACATCTATTTTGTCTCCTTTTCATGTATGAAACTCCCTCATGAAAATGAATTCAATTGAATTTTTAACTAAAAATTCGGCTTTGAGCAAGCTGCAAGCTTTTTACATAAAATACCAAAATTTCAGTTCTGTAACTCATTCACTCATCTAGAGACCCGTGACATACGGACAGACTGACAGACAGACGACAGAATGACAGCAATAGGGTTCCATTTTACCCTTTGGGTACAGAATCCTAAAAACTTACCCTGTACCCTGCAGGCGAGGTCTCAGTGATGCAGTTTATCTATATTAGTAATGTAATAATAAATAACCTTTATAAAATCACAGATAATAATGATCAAATATTGATATTTTTAAGCGTACTTCCGCGAGTATCATCATCATCAGCCTATTAATGTCCATTTTTCCCACTGCTGGGGTACAGGCCTTCCCTATGGATGGAGTAGGGAGATTGGGCCATGACCTTCCACGCGACTGCAGATGCCGTCGAGACCAACGGCTTAGCCTGCCTTCCGAAGCACGGAAGAACTCGAAATAGAATATATTTGGTCACCCATCCAATGACCGACCACTGCGAAAGTTGCTTAACTTCAATGATCGTAGCCGAACTCGCTAACCACCATTGAGCTCCTCTCCGCGAGTATAGAGGGCGTTAATGGGTTAAAATTTGTTAATGATAAAAGTTTACCAATGATTCAATATAGTCCTTAACTAACACTAATAATATTGTTTCACAGATCACGCTCACGTCATCGCAGCTCCAGGCGATCAAGATCCAAATCGCGTCATCGTAGCTCCCGATCTAAACGAGACCGTTCGCGCGACAAGAAAGATAAAAAGGATTCTTCTGAAAAAGAGAAAAAGAATGATAAAGAAAAATCCAAATCTCCACCAAAGGAAACAGAAAAGGTGGAAAAAGAAGAGGTAAAGGTAGAGACGATCGAAACTAACGGTAGTTCTGAAACTAAGTCTAAAGCGTCATCCCCTGTTGATGATAAAGATAAAGAAGTTGAAAAAGAGAAGGAGAAAGAAACATCACCGTCGAAGAAGAGGGAGAGATCACGTTCCAAAGATAGGAAACGGGATAGATCAAGGTCAAGGCGCAGGTCTCGCTCGCGATCTCGAAGGAAACGATCGAGGTCTCGCAAAAGATCTCGATCGCGTGATCGCAAGAAGTCTCGATCTCGTGACAGAAAGAGGTCTAGGTCTCGTGATAGGAAACGGTCCCGATCGCGTGATAGGAAAAAGTCTAGATCACGCGACAGAAAGCGCTCCAGGTCACGTGATCGAAAGCGTTCCCGGTCTAGAGACAGGAAACGTTCCCGATCAGGAAGTCGCCGCTCTAAGAGCCGATCTCATCGAGATTCTAAAACACCACACGACAGAAGAACACGTGATAGGAGCCCTAATCTCTCCGTCATTGAAGAGAAAACTAATAATACCTTAGATAAAGCTCCAGAAATTATAGAAGAGAAAAATTCTCCAGACAATATGGACATCTCTAATTCACCGTAAACACTGAAATATGCCTGAATATTGTGACGTCATTTATTCTGTAATAAGTATCTTAGTAATGTTCATAAGAATGCTAATGTTTAAGAGAAATAAATAAAATTTAAAAGATTTCTTGTTCTTATTTTGTTAAGAAATACTTTACACATCTATATAATCCACTGGTTCCTCGTAATTACACTGGTGTAACCATCTCTATCCTCGGATGGAGTGCTATAATCATCATCACCATCATCAACCCGCATAAGTCCACTGCTGGATATAAACCTCTACCATGACACGCCATTGAGCTCGAACTCAGCAAGGGTTGCCAGCAGTGGCAGCTGTTATTGCACTCGTGCGCTGCACCACCAATTCAATAAAAAATACAAAATATTACTTCATCTTTATTTTTAAATTACCATGTTAATATTTATATTTTAAACATACAAAATAATATCACAAATAAAATTTCCAAATACGACGAACCAATTTAAGCGCTTTGTTAAAGTATTAAGAATTATTTTCCCTGTAAAGAAATATTCTGAGAATGTTTTAATTTCATCCGCGACCTGTTTTCTTTCAAACAGATATCAAAAAACTTGACTGAATAAGACTTGTAGCAAAGGATGATGGGCAAAAATGTATGGAACTTGGTATCCGTTCCAATAGAGATGTGTTACATATCATTTGAAAGGTCTACTTGAATACAATAATGTCTACTATGGCGCTTGCCCTGATACGTTGTCGAAACAGAGTTATATAATAAATAATAAAAAAAAAGTTTTTTCTTTTTAAATTGTTATACATTTCAGTATTTACATTATTTTAGTAGTGTTGTAAGTATTAACAATAGGATTTATCTATAATAAGGATGTCATTTAGGAACAGTGCAGGAGCGATGAATCCGGCGTGCCTGGCATAGCCTAGGTACCATATGCATGCTCTTGAAGAACTCAAGCATGCTAAGGAGACTTGTAGTCAGCTACTGCGTGAACGAGAGGAGAGTGAAGAAGAGATTAGAAAGGTCATAGACAAGAACGCTCAGCTTAAGTGCAAACTATCCCATCTTCATACTGAACACGTAGTAGTCTTACTACAACGAGACAATTTAAATGATGCCATCAGTCACTATAATGAGCAATTCAACACTTATGAGAGGGCTCTGCAGCGCATCACTGACCTTGAAAAGGAGCTGAGTGCAGCGAATACGCAAATAGCACATTTTATGGAAGTACAGCAGCTTCAAGAGTCAGCACATACTCAAAGTCTTTTTGAGGAACTGATGGCGTCACCTGGAGGACCTCTGATACAGTGCCAGCAGCCCATCAATTCTAAATGTAACACTAACACTCTTGTAAATGATTTCAATTCTGACAGTTCATTTCAGTGTTCTCCCGGGAATGGACTTGTTAAACTTAGTAAGAACAAATTAAAAAGATATGTTAAGGTCAGAAGGTATATTTTAAAAACTAAGAAACTTATAAATAAAGAAAAGACATTTTATAAAAATATTGACTTTGTTAAAGAACGTACACAGTTACTACAAAAATTAGATACTTGCCGTTCCATAATTGAAGAAAATAGATTAACATATGAACAAAATATGGATTCATTGAATATTAAATTAAAAACCCTTAAACAATCGTTATCTCAAATGACACAGAATTATAATAACTCAAAAAAACAGATAGAAGAATACATTCTGGCCTTAAAGTGTCTATCTAACACCTCCCTTCACGAAGACACACCTGTAAAGTGTCACTCTTTGGTATCGAATCAGAGCATTAATGAAGAAAATGACACTGATCCAGTATGTGAGTCCTTGATTAATAAATCTGTTCACTCAGAGACCACAATTACATGTAATTCTTTTAAGCAGAGAAATTTTCATAGGTATATGGTGTTATGTGACGAATTTGGTAAAGATCTGGGTTGCTTACTACAAAAACAGCTGGGTGAAAATACAATTAATTATTGTTTGCCAGGTGTCACAATGCACCAATTAATGAAGAAAATATTAACTCTTGAACTTGACAAAAATACAAGTTTAATTATTTTAATTGGTAATAGAGGTAATGTTGGCAAAAATGACATTATGACTTACTATAACTCTTTGTGTTCTCTAAATGTAAATAGAATAGTTATGTATACATTTCCTTATAGTAAGAGTCTATCAAGTGAAGAAAATAATATTAGGTACAGGCTAAATTTGACATTAAGTACCATGTCTCAGTATAGTGGTCAAAAAGTACATTTAATTGATATAAATAAATTAATATATAATTTTAAAATGACAAGAGATAAATATTATCTTTCATATTACCATAAGAGACAAATAGCTTCTTCGCTATTATTTTATTTTACACACATAGCCAAAAACTTGGCTAACACTACTGCTTCTATTGAGCAGCATAATTATGTGGATCAGACTTTGGAATTTGTTCCAAATACTGACATTAATTGTAATTTAAATTAGTTCGTAAGACAACAGAGGAGCTCTCTAGCTATATCATGACCAAGGAAAAGTCTAAATTTCTAAATATTGTTCACCAAAATATACAAGGCTTTTCTGGTAAAGACTTAGAACTATGCTTATTTTTAAATACAATGAATATAAACATTTTATGTATTACAGAGCACTGGCTCAGAGATTATGAATTAGTTACAGGCTTAGATAATTATACAGTTGTTAGTAGTTTTTGTAGGAAATCGGCTATCAGGGGAGGCTCTCTCATAATCTTACAGAACAATCTTAAATACAAAGAACGTACAGATATTGTTACACTTTCAGTTGAACGTAATATAGAAATATCTTGTGTGGAACTTGAAGAAATGATCATAATATGTGTATATCGGCCCCCATCTGGGAATTACACTCAATTTGAGTCTGCTATGGAAGATGCTTTCAATATAGTATGTAGATGTAATAAAGTGGTTGTTGTGTGTGGTGATTTTAATATAAACATTTTAGTTAAGTGTCCATTAGTGAGTAGGTTTCTAAACTTATTTAAATCATATAACTTGGAGCATACCTTCTTTGAGCCTACCCGCATCACACATGCATCAGCGACCTGTTTAGATAATATTTTTTGTAATAGAAATGTTTTTAATAAATCAATAATAAATTGTATTAATTCTGATCATAGCGGACAATTAGCCTCTATTGAACACCATCATGCTTCACCCAAACATGACCTAACTTGTAGACCAATTACACAAACGGGTATAAATAAATTTCAAGATAGCGTTTATCACAAAATATCGTACTTACCAGTTTATAGTAATAATAATATATTGTATGAAGATTTATTCAATTTAATTAAAGATGAATTTAATATAATATTCAAACGCAAAGTTATTAAATGCCATAGCTTTAAAAAGAAATTTAGTGATTGGGCCACACCGGGTATTTACAAAAGTAGAAATAAGTTGTATGAATTATATGCTCTCAAGGCAACCTCATCTGATCCTAAGTTTATAGAATATGTCAAAAACTATTCAAAAACTTTTAAAAAGGTGTGTGCCATAGCAAAAGCTAAGTTTTTATCAAAAAAAATTAGTCTTTCCGATAATAAAATAAAGACAACTTGGAATATAATTAATAATGAAACTGGAAGAAATAAATTTAATGAACACACATATTCTTTAAAAATAGACAATAAGATTATTAGGACAGATGATGCCGTTGCAAACACTTTTGAAAATTTCTTTTCTAGTGCACCATTTGAAACAACTAGAAATCTTAATTCTTGTTCTAGGTTAGCAATGACCCTCCTTGAGTCAAGTGTTGATAAGTGCAGTAATGATTTTCATTTTAGACATATCAGTAGTGACTGTATTATAAAAACTTTTAACTCAATTAAAATTAAAAAGACAGAGGATTATTGGGGAATATCAACATATATAATAAAACCGATTATCACTGTTATTGCGCCACAACTGGCCATTATATTTAACAAATGTATTGATGAGGGAGTGTTTCCAGATCTAATGAAATGTGCTAAAGTTATCCCTCTCTTTAAGGCTGGTGACAAATCAGATCCCAGCAATTTTAGGCCTATATCTGTATTACCAGCGCTAAGTAAAGTATTTGAGAAAATAATTTATAACCAATTACTAGCACACTTTTCTATAAATAAGCTATTTCATTTAAAACAGTTTGGTTTCACTAGAGGCAAAAGTACTACTGATGCTGGAACTGCACTTCTCAAACACATCTTTGATATATGGGAGAGTAAGCACGATGCTATTGGCATTTTTTGCGACTTATCAAGGGCGTTTGACTGCGTTAGCCATGAAACATTGTTAAATAAAATGAAGCATTATGGTGTATCAAATATTTCACTAAGTCTGATACAGTCTTATCTTTCTGCTAGGATTCAAAAAGTAGTTATAAATGAAGCTGAGTCTACAGGAGCACCCATTTCTATGGGCGTGCCCCAGGGTTCAATATTGGGCCCATTGCTTTTCCTTATTTATATCAATGACCTTCCTCACTTTACAAGAGATTTGTGTGAGACAGTACTATTTGCTGATGACACCTCTTTATTGTTTAAAGCTAGAAGAGGAAATGATTGTTATGACGAAGTAAATTGTGCTCTCTCTGAAGTCCTTCACTGGTTTACGGTAAATAATTTAAAACTTAACTCCAGTAAAACAAAATGCGTTAAGTTTACTCTACCTAATGTGAGGCAGGTTAATACTAGTATAAAAATAAATGACCAGCCTGTAGAGTTAGTGGATTTTACAAAGTTTCTGGGTATTACTTTAGACTATCGTCTGCAATGGGATATTCATATTGATGCCTTGTCAAGTAGATTGAGCTCTGCAGCTTTCGCTGTTAAAAAGATAAGACTCTTAACTGATGTGGAAACGGCAAGATTAGTTTACTTTGGTTACTTTCACAGTGTTATGTCATATGGCCTTTTGTTGTGGGGCTCAGCCGCTAATATCGAAAGTATTTTCATACTGCAAAAGAGAGCTGTTCGCGCCATATACAATTTAAAGGCAAGAGAATCCCTTAGAGAAAAATTTAAAGAAATTAATATTTTAACACTGGCGTCGCAATACATTTATGAAAATTTAATATATGTAAGAAAAAACT